AAATGTATTTGGGTGATGACTAGCTTGATAGTCCGGATATGTCCATGTAGTAAAGGGTCATGATCGGAGGTAAAACTAAGGAGTATGCTAAATTGATAGACTTTGCACTGTTTTGAAGTTTCTCGTGAATTAATTTTTTATAGTAACTTTTGAGCCATTATTCAGATTCGCATTGATCCATTGTTTGAGTAGTAGGTTGTTGGCAAATTTTTATTGTTTTTGTTCTTAGTATTTTGCTTGAGGACAAGCAAAGATTCAAGTTTAGGGGTATTTGATGAGTGAGTTTTATACCTACGAATTGAGTGCTTTCGGTTTAATAAAATTGCAAGTTTTCAATTATTTTATGTTCATTTTTATTCGTTTTGTGTGTTTTGATGTTATTTCGTAGGAATGACCATTTGAGAGGAAACAAGGTCAAAATTGGAGCCTAAGTGTTGGATTTTTGAAGAGGAAGCTAAAGGGCATTTTAATGGAGTATTTATAGCGTACCATTTTGTAGTAGTACCTCGGTTTTCTACCTTTTTGACCATGTTCCACTTTGAATCTGAAACGGTGCAAAACATAAAAGGTGTATATCAGGATGTTTTCTGTATTGTTTCAAAATTTCAGCTCAATTGGATGGTTGTATCAAAGGTTGTGACGATTCTACGAAGACTGGTCCGAAGCAGGCAGAATACAAGGAGGCGCGCCCCAACGCCCAAACACTGTCCAAATCAGCGCCCCTGCACGTGTGTTAATCCATGACGCGAATTTTGACTTGTTTTGGGCCCAAATATTTAACCCTAAGGCTATATATATGCTAGGGTTTGTGTGGGGATGATATATTCTGACTTTTGGGGGCTGAAAACATCTGGAAAAACCATTGAATTGGAAGAAATTTAAAGACAAGAATCGAAGGAATCAACACGAAGAAGATTAGACTTAAAGACTAGAGAAGGATTGAAGATTGCACCTAAGTTTTCATTCTTTTCTCTTACCTTGATTTCTTGTTTTTCTAAGATGTTGTTTAATTTTAGAATGATGTCTTTCAATTACATTATGAAATAATTTTTTATTAAGATTGCAACAGAACCTATGTCTAGTTAAATTAATCTACTCTCGTTTCTAGTTCTTATTGATCTTATATGAGTTGTTTGTCATATTTTGTGATTAATATATGATTGTGTGACCAATAATTAGTTTGATAACCTAGATGAAATTGGGAGATGAATTCTAGGTTTAGATCTGAATATGATGACATACGTCTGGTTAATTCTTCTTAGGATTGAATTGCTGGATTTGTGTATAGGATATGAATATACCTATATGCCATTTGTAAATTTTATGAGAGTTTGAACTTAATGAATTTATTCCAACTTATTTTGCATAGGAATATAGTAATTTAATTGGGATAGATAATTTTATCTAACTATCGGAAGAAGTTTGATAAATAACTTTGAGTTCTCAATTAACAACTTATTTTGATCAATTAGTTGGAAAAAGAGTTAGAAAGATTTATACGAAGCATTAGGGGAAGTTGTAATCTTAAGTTCTTTTACCCGGTAAATTCAGCCATTGATTGTTAAGTTTAGATTTAGTTTTAATTTAGTCATTCCATAGTTCAATTCCAATTGTTTAAATAAAATTGAATTGATATAAAGTTAGTACTTGGATATTATTAGCAATAATTATCCGTGGGAATGATACTCTACTTATTACTTTATTATTTGTTGATCATGTATACTTGCACGTAAATTGTCAATATCAAATTTGGACAACACCGTTGATCACCCATCAACCTGCAGAAATACCCGTGGATGTCGTATAACCTGACACCATTACACAGCATTCCCTTTACCGGGATAACAAAGACACAAAGTTTGGGTAGAGTCTTCCTTGTACCAGGCACTCCCAACTGCATATCCTATATACATTTAATCACATGACCTATTTGGTGTGAATCCCACACCTAAAATGTTTTCCCATAAAGGGTGAGCTACACTCAATAGGGCATCTTCTAAAGAGGCTACTCACCAACCCAAATGCATATGAAATGTTCACATGTAACAACCAATCATCCAAAACATTCCAATCAAGAATATGCAATCCAATGAGAGGAATTACCATGTTGTACTATGAAATGAGATTAGACTCACTCATGCAACTCAACCCGAGCCTTCACCGGCTCCCTTTAACACAAGCAATGTCATATGTATGAAAACTCAGGCATTCTAAGCCCTCGTCATTGATGTTTCACATCGAATGACTATTTTATAAAACAAAATCATGTGTCTTTATTTGGGTATTCGGATTTTGGAATCTCACCACCGGTTCCGTACACTGTTACACTTTTTAGGACTTGCACCGCCGGAAGTGTATAAACCAGTAGTCGGGTCTTGCACCTGAGGGAGTATTTAGCCCTTCTTGCTATACCCGACACAAGTTTTTCATGCAACCGTGCAACTCTGTTGAACCCTGATCCAACGATACCGAGCCTGTTTATCAGCCAACAAGGATGGTGTTTGATTTAAAAACATGCACACACTCCCACACTCATGCCTAGTGCCCACGAATGCGATGACTCTGTGCAATTCCAATGTAATGTACACTTGCATCATTATTATAATGTTCAATATGTAATGAATTTCATATGAACCATTTCAAATACATCTCAACATATTACATGGCTAATTATATCAAAAGCATATAATTTCCATAATCCATCACAATGTCAATATATCAACAAGCATACATTAACATCTTATCCAACAATAATTTTCCAAGCATGTTATACATAATCTATGCAAGAACACATTTAATTTTACATAGGCACAATATAAACACATAGCATAAACACATAACACCATTTTCCAAAAAATTACAAACTAGCAATTTTCACACACCAATTCAAGCTAGAATTGATTTTACCCAATTTCAATACCCATTTCCTTTATTTTGCAATAATAGGCAAGGTTTATAAATATCTAACACCCTACCTATTCCAGATACTCACCCTATGTTGAAAATAAACCTAATTAGGGAGAAAATCCTACCTCTTGAAGTGTAAAAAAACATTGAGAAGCTTCAAGAATACACCCCCAAGCTCAAACCTTGATTTTCCCAAAATTCTGTCTCGAAAATTTTGGTGAAATTCGCTCTTTTTGGTACATAGGCGTAGCCCTCGATGAGTAGAACAACTTTGATTCTTGGCTCGTGTTGATTCGAGCACTGTAGGGCCGAAGATCGTAGAGAGAAGGTTGGATTTCTCTCTTTCTCTCCAACGTTGAATACCACACGTCCTCTATTCCGAGGTCCATTTTCACCCTGAACGATTAAATTTCGTCCCGGTTCAAGTTCAAATTTTTTTTTTTCAACTAGCTTTAAATTTTGAACCTTTGAAATTTTATTTCATGGTTCATTTTTGAGGTCACTCGACACTTGATCGCCTCGTAAAAAGTGAAAAATTCAACTATCTAAGAATTCGACAAAAATTGACAAGGTAGTTAGATTTCGTGAGAAGAATTCAACGGTGAGGTTGTTTCTTCATCCGAGTTCTAGAAAAATTTGAGTTTTTGACCCGTACTGTAGCAATAATTTTATCGTTTTGCCCTTTTTCATAAAAGTTCAATTTTACCCAGATTTTACAAAAGGTGTCTCTTAGCTCACTCTTAGTCACTTCCTAAGCAAGGAAATTAGCTTGAGTTTGAGTTAAATCCTTATTAATGTATGGCTATAAGATATACTTACCAGGATAGGGTTATGGGTTCAATTCCTAGGAGCTACTTGTAGTACTTGATAATTTCATCTTTGACTTGCCTATAATCTTGGAGCATCACTCTATCTTCATTATGAATGGCTAAGATCTTACCAACATTATTCCTTCCCTAAATAGATTTATAGATATAAGCAGTATTCTGATCTCCCTTAGAAAGCCACTGAATTCTTGACTCCAGGTAGTAAATACTCTCCTCTATATGATTCAATTTGAAGAGTTCATCAAGGAGATTTTGGTCCTCTTATACAATGAGACTATCTCTAGGATGATCGTGCAACTGGATCTGCTTTTCCCTTATCTCTACAGTTTTGTTTGTTGTGACTCTACCTTTTCTTTTATCTATCTCCTTCAGGCTTTCTTTGACCATTTTCAATTTCTAACTTACTTGGAACATTGGTACCCCTTGATCTCAGTTCTCCATATACCAGTGACAATAGTCTCAAATTCTAAGTATTCTGCCCAATAATTAAAGAACTTGAAAGGTTTTTTCTCCTTACAAATACTAATTCTTGTTTTGATTAAGATAGGGCAATGAATAGATACATTATGAGGTAGGAATTCAAAAAAAAAAAAGTTTATAAACCTAGAGTTCCATGCTTCATTTATCAGAGCTCTATCTATTTTCCGCTCCTTAATATCTCCGACCTTTGATTTGTTGGTCCAAGTGAACATAGGTCCAGTGAATCTCAAATCCTCCAATTCACTATTTTGAATGCATTCTTCAAATATCCCTAATTATCAGCTAATCCTGATTACCACCTCTCCTTTCATAGCAGTATCTTACAACATTGAAATCCCCCAGAAGAATCCATGGAGTTTTGCAAAAAGAACTAGAGTAGTAGATAATATTCCTCCATAAGTCTTCCCTCTTCTTAGCTGTGTTGTGACCAAGATGCAACAAAATTCTCTTTCTTTTTAAGCACATGTATATCTGTAGTGGTGCTCATTCTAATCAAGAGGATCTAATTAGTGGTTCTCATTCTCTTAATGATTAGAACATTATGGTCCCAACATACCTAGATTCTACCATTTGTGTGATGCTCGTAATTATGCAGAAATTGCCACCACTTTAGCAAGGATTTGATCACTCAATCTTTGTTAATGCCTCTAACTCGTCTCTAAGACTATTATACAGGAGACTTTGAGAGTGATCAAATTTCTTGATTTTCTTGTGTTTATGGGGCTTATTGAGCCCTCTAATATTCCATACTAATATATTAATCTTAAATAAAAAAATGGGAGTTACCTGTGGGACTATTCCCTTTTCCTTTCTTTTTCTTACAATTACTACTACAGGAGCTTATTGAAAGCTCGAGTTTCTTGGCCACCTCACCCACTATTGTGAATTTACTGCCCAATGGGTTGAGATCAGGTGATGCCATGAGAGGATCAAGGTTGTTTCCTTTTCCTAAGAGGGCATTAAAGATATTTTGAGTGTGCATTTGCATCCCAATCATAACTAGGACTACTGGGGAGCCACCTGAAGATGCACTTGCATTGGTCTTGGGTTTGGGGTTGGGTAATACCACCGGAGCTATATAGGAGTTCACCTTTTCCTTTCCTTTGTTGCTAACTACAACCCATTCATTCATTGATACCTCTGGTAGTGTGGTAGCTAGAGTTGTTTCATTTGCAGTTTGCTCCAATTAATAATTTAGTGGGGGTGCCATTGTGCAGTAATGACCAAAAACCTTACATTGCTCACACCTTGGTGGTTTCAATTGATATTCCACCTTGATCCCTATATTTTGTTCATTTTCTTGTATTTTACTTTCCATGATCAATTCAAATGCTTCAATAGTTCAGAGGCATCAACCTCTATACAGATTCTTGCAAAAGAAATTCTATTGGCTTCCTTAGTGAGTCTGTCCATATACAAATGCTTACCTATGGCACTTGCGATGTGGCTAAATCTTGAAGGTATCCAATACTCAATTGAAACATCATACAATTTTACCCAAATTGGGATTTTAGCCAAATTGATTTTGGTTAGTTTCATCCTTTGTTCCCATCTTCTTAGATTGATAGGTTGGCCATGGATATGCCAAGGGCCACCTTCCAACACCTCATTCCTATTACTAGAACTAGTAAATTTAAAAAAGAAGAAGCCCTGATCATTAGCATAAACATCCATAAGTACCTTGGAATTCCACATTTTTTGCACATAACTGTAAAGGTATTTCTTACCTGGAAAATAGCCCACCAAATAGTTCTCCTATTTAAGAGCCCCTTCCTCAACCACTAAGATGGGAGGTTTCACTTGGACCCTTCCATTGGACTTATTGGGCTAGATGAATTGGAGGGATGTGCTAGACAAAGTGTCAATTCTAACCCTACTAGCCCAAGTCATCTGTGTTGGTGGAGCCCCAGAGGAAGTCCCAAGACCTTAAAAAGGTTCAAGAAAAGCCTTTATCGTATGATGTGACAACACCTTGGATCTACCAGTAGGATTTCTTTGGCTAGTTAGAGGTGGGAAATTAGTTGTCATCAACTCCTCTTTTGTATTAGATCCAATGACTAAAGATGATGCCATCATATTCCCAACTAACTTGTTTCCTGATAGGTTTCTTGAATATTGTGCATGGATTGTCCAGCGGTCCACTATGTCTTCCTCTACCTTGGATCTTTGCTTTACCATGATTTACCATTAATTACTTTACCATGATTGACCATCAAAATGTTCCCTTCAAAAGAATGAGGTGCATTTATTGCTCAGCGAGCTCGAGAAGACGAGAATTAAATGCACGAAGATCCGAGCATAAAGTACAGAAGTTTCTATCACATGAAAAGGAAGGTTCATTGCTTGAGAACTGAGCACCACATGTTGCCTTCCAAATGAGCCAATAAGGAGCCTTCCCTCCAAGGGACCCAATAGTTCACAATGATCGACTCTAATGAGGTATAAGCAGCTCTCACAAACTCAAGTCTAAGGTACGCAACTAGAACCCAAGCAATAGAACATTGTTTTTCCACCCCCTTTTTCACATACTGACTTCCAACGCCCTTATAACGTTTATTTTTGAGTCACAAGACCTAATTTGGTCACTCTCTGGCGATTCGATCGTTTGTAACGAGTTTTATCACCATCTCTCCGCCTATTTGCTACAGGATCTTCGACTTTCCAGGTAACTTGAGTTTATCAAGGGAGAGATCTATCAATTTGTTTATTGTGCAAAAATTATCGCACACAGTTTGGCAACCCGAAGCGCCTAATCCCATCCCTTCTTAAAGAACTCCCTCTTCATCTCCTCAAAGGCAACCATGATGCCATTGGTGCATCGATGGATGATCTCCTACTCCATTTGCTTGTTAGCCTCCATCTCAAACCTTAGCTTGTCAAAATTTTGAGTAAGGAGGGCACAAGTCTACTCCGACTCTGCCACCCTCACCTCGGCCACAGACACCTACTTCGCCGCCTCAATCATCCTCTTCTTAGCGTCGGCAAGCAAGGCCTTGTTCTTGTTAGCTTCTCCCTTTGCATTTTGGCTCTCTTTGAAGAGCTCGGTGTTCTAGGCCCCCTGAGTGAACAAAGTTTTGTCTCAGGAAACCATCTCCTCCATAGCTACAACGAATGCTCTACAAGCTTTCTCAAGGTTGTCTTTGAGCCTCTCGCACTCCTGGACATTACCCTGATGGGCATGGAAACACTCGACAATAACAAACACTTGCTCAGCTGCCTGGAAGACAAAGAAAGGCAAGTTATGCTGAGGAAGACACCAAAGTAAAAAGAAAAAAATTCACAAGTGTAGAAGTCTTACCACCAATGAGCTCTAGATTAGATATTGAAACAACTGATTGATCCCATAGTCCCAGTGGACCGTCATGTCAGTGTCAACATGAAGTACTTCACTCATGGCATAGGCAACATGAGGAGAGGCAACAATGGAGTCAGTCACCCAGATCGGATGATCATCGCGATCTCAAGCGGTACCACGCCATTCTGGAGTAGTTGAGATCAACATTGGCATTAGGGTCGGCATCAGTGTGGACCTAGGTGTCGGCGTAGGAATGCCCCTTCCACGGCCAGCACCATCGTGCCTTTTCTTTATTCTTCTCTCCTCAACTTGAGGATCTTGGTCATAGACTCGGCTGCGCCCCAATGGTGTTGGCGCCACAAGGGCGTCGGCTAGTGGAGGAGTTGGCAAGGGTGTAGATCCTTAGATTGCGACCCCAGAAGGACGAGTGTGTCCCTAATTAGGGGAGACCTCGGACCCCGAGCCACTCCGTCATCCGACAACAAGTATGGCTCTTTCTTTGATTAAGTTGAGGGATAGACGAGGCAGGTTGGACATGGCGATCTCCAAGGCGTCTTCTTCCTCAAGATTTTGAAGAATGTTAAAGTCAGACCAAACATCCTTGCCTAAAGTGCTTGTCTTGGCGTGGGTAATGGTGGATGGATTCCTTACTTCCTCGACATCGGCAGCTATGTCTTCGACAGCCTCCACCTCAGTTTTAGTGGCTCTATCAGGTTCTTCTTCTAAGTTTTCGCCAGAAAACACCAACCATCTTGCTCGATCAAACGGTAGAGGAGTCTGGGAGAAGTTTTTGTACCCAGGACTATAGTTTAGCAACATGTGCGCAACTCGGCCAAATTCGTTGCCCTTGAATCTCCAAGCTGTGATGAAGTCACCAAAGTTAACTTGATTCCAAGGAAGGGTAGCAGATTCAGTGTTAGAGATTCCTATAGAAAACAAAAAAGGTCAATGTTAAATACAAGTACTAAAATGCCGAGGGACTGTAAGCCAAAAAGAGAGAGAAAAGTTGTCATACTTGTAGTCCGCCACTGCTTGGTGCATTACAAGTCAGGGTACTCAAGGTCAAATACCCTCTCTCATTGGCCGTCGAAGACAAGCAGGTCATCCTTGTACCCCTTGTCGAAGTCTGGAAGGTGGGTCACAAGGTACATAGCAGGGTGTCAGGCCTTGAGATAGAAGTTCTGTTGGGACATCACCCTCACCAAAGAGTGAAAGAAAAGAATCTCTTCTAAGCCGAGCTTTTATTGGAGACACTTGTTTAAGGAGACCACCCTTTGATGATCCAAAAGGTGTTCAGGCAACTTTGTCTTGGGAAAAGGCAAAAATGAGATAGGAAGCAGAGAAGAAGGGGGTAGAAGGGAAATGTAACACCACCTTCCATGATGGCCTTAGTATAGAAAGGCATGGCCTCCTCAGTGTTGACGGTGGCACTATGGAGACCTGGAATGAAGTTATTTACAGTAACCCCGAGGGGAATTGAGTAGTGGGTCTTAAAATTAATGATTTATTGGCAACCCTTAACTATATATTTCCTCGCCTTGAGGAACCAACCTCATCAGCCTCGGTGTTCGTATTTGAGTGACATCTCTTCATGGAATAAGCAAAGAGGAAACTCAAAGGGGGGTTCCTAAAGATGGGGCCCTAAGGGAAAGATAATGGGTACAGAGAGACAGAACGATGCAACTACTAAGAAATAAAAGAGAAGGAACAAAAGAAGAATGGTCACTACTGAGAGAGAAAAAGGGAGCAGTTAATCGCCAATGAGCACAATTCTGGTACAGAGGAGGGGTTGGTGGCTTCTTTCTCCAGTGGGTTCTAAGAGGTTTATAGCTTTTTAGACGAACTGAGGCTTCTTTGCTGGAACTATGGCGAAGGGCTCTTCGAGTTGCAAGATTGGCAAAAGTGGGGGAAAGAAGCAAAGCCTCTGTTTAAATAAGGCCAAGGGCCATGATTTCACATGATGAATAAGGGAGCACATTAAATGAAGCATAAACCACAAGGAAGGGAAAACAACTACACATGGAAGTAGAGGTCGAGCCCTTTCATCTTACTCCGTCACATCACCCTCACTGTACGAAAGATCAAAGGTTAAGAGGTAGTTGATGGGACATTTCCATGAATTAATAGGGAGTTGACACATGGCCACGGCATGATGAACGTGGAGCCTCCATGAATCGACATGTGTCCTCAGCACGAGACTGTTAGAGCTCTTTGTGACTGACACGAGTCTTCAGTGTAATAGTACCCAGACCTTCCATGTGTCAACACCTGTCCTTGGTGTGAGCCCCCTCGGAGCTCTCTATGACTAACATGTGCCCTCGATATTTGTAACCCCGGGGAACCCTCGCAGCCCTAGCAACTTGACACGTATCCTCAACGTCAAACACGTCATCAAAGCGTTGAGTCTTCCACTTCAGCAGTGTATGAATAGTTATCTTGATGGTTATCGTGACTTCAGAGCAAAGCTGGTTGTTAGTCATCAGCTTTCCCTTCCCAAGACAAATAGAATGGTGGGGAATGGAGTTCGATAACCAATAACGGGGATGAATAAAGTACCAAACACATAAGACATGACTTCTTCAAGGGCAATGGACGAAAGTGCACATGCGCATGAACAACCATAATCAGGTCAAATTAAATGTTCCCTTCAAAAGAATGAGGTGCATTTATTGCTCGACGAATGCAGGAATGGGAACATTAAATGCACAGAGATACGAGCATTTAGTGCAAAAGTTTCTATCAAATGAAAAAGGAGGGCTCACTGCTCGAGGACTAAGCACCACATGTTGTCTTACAAATGAGCCAATAAAGAGCCTTCCCTCCAAGGGACCCAACAG